AATAGTATAATTATCATGTGTAATCGGTACATGACGTAGTAATTGCTCCGCTTCCCCAACTAATAATCCTTTCAAGTAATGCAGTTTTTGTACGTCATCTAAATGTTTATTATTATGTACCAATGATACGAACATTCTAAAATAATCCATTCTGAATATTTGTGAGAACGGGGATATAGATATCTTAGCTTTAAATTACAATTAAGATTATTACTATTGTTTTGTTCGGTATAACTTGCACTTTCAGTACTCGACTGCCTTAAACTAGTCAATGTTTCCTTCAGTTGAAATTTGTATTCTATATATAACTCTTCAGTAGAATCATAGACGTTATTACATACGTAGGAACTAGCATTCAAATCTTTGTAGTCTGTATTTTGAATAAGTTGTGTATGTGTCGAACTAAACTGACGCCATAATTCTTCTAAAGCTTCTAATCTAATACTAATATAATCTATAGAACGAAGTCGCTCCTTGGGTGCCTTTTTAAAGTTGGATTTTGCTCTACTAATTCTTGCACTTAAATCAAGCTGTACTTTTATATATGAATCCATTGTATAAGTTTAATTTTAAAGTTTCAATAATATCCAAAGTTTTTACAAGTAAATATTTATATGAAATGTTTAGAGTAAATTCCTTAGTCTTCTGTAATTAGATAAATAAAATGTACTCACAGTTCACCAGCACTTATCACTTACAACACTATGTTTAGTTCTTCTTCGATGTTATGCAATATGACGATACAATGTTCAACAACAACAATTGACGCTCGCCGACTTACAAAAATGCGATTTAAATTTGTCGTTAATCCTCGATACTCCGACTCGATGGACCAAAATATAGACGATTTACTCCAAAATGATACCACTTTTATAGTTCCACTAGTGTTTTTTTATATTTATTTACATAACAAAATTATAGTTAGACATTACACAAAGAGATACAAGAGTGGTATGCAAAAATTCAAATCATTCTTATTCTTTTTTTAAATATACTATATGGCTTCTTTCCAGCCATGACCAATTATAAACTAGAAAGGTAAACATCCTCGTTACACCAGTTTTGTTATTAGCACGTCCAAACTTATTAGACTACATTAAATTTAATATATGGCGAAAACAACGTCATTAAAACGCAGTAACGCAGACGTAATATAAGTTAACGTACTAACAGACTGGCAATTCAATGATACAAATGAGATCAGAAAATAGTTACACTAGCGTACGTGTTTAGTTTGTTTAGTTTTAGCACAAATTATATATTTATTTATTTTTTAAATTTTATTTCATTTCTTTATTGACTACATTAAAAAAGAGTGTTTGGTTCAAAGGATGAACTAATTGCTAAATTCCCGTATTTATTGTAATTTTTACTTTAATTTAGCATGTTCAGAACTATATTCGACACACATGGCGAAACCATATTTTCATATTTTATCTTTTGTTGTATATTTTGAAAAGTGTAAATGATTTGATTGTATAAACTCATTTGTAAATTTACGTGTGTCATAAATGGCCCAAATAAAAAGTTTATCTATCTATTTGGATTAAATTAGATATTTTTTTCTACCCATTCGTGTACAAAATATTCCTAAAAGTTCTATAATTTTACATTTAAAGAGATAAATGTTTAAAGTGTAATTACGTGAAAAATTTTGAGATTTCTTTTCTTAATTTATCTTATATCTTTATTATAGGTTTAATGCACTTAACTAATATTACTATTACATTCTGTTAAAACTAATTCCACTGAAAAACAAAAATAAATAAAAATTTATTTAGTTCTTACTTCCGTCAAATCAGCTTTGAGCTTTTATTGTGTAGGTGAGTGTTCCACTTCTCTATCTCGTTCTAGTATTATATATGTTACTAACGGCACGCACGCACGGGTGGACATTTTTATATTTAAAAAAGTGGCCATTAAGGCTGCACACACGACGGAAGCTTAAAAATGGAGTAACTTCTCCCATTTTCCCAACATTTCTCTTTACTGCTCTGCTCCTATTGATCGTAGCGTGATGAAAAGCATACTATAACCTGCCCAGGAGTATAAAGAATAATTGTACCAAGTTTCGTTAAAATCCGTCGTGTAGATTTTGTTTCTATAACGAACATACAGACAGACAAAAATTTTACTGATTGCATTTTTGGCATCAGTATCGATCACTAATCAGCCCCTGATGGTTATTTTGAAAATATATTCCATGTACAGAATTGACCTCTCTACAGATTTATTATAAGTATATATTATGATTATTATATTTATATTATTATGCCTTATAATCTAAAGTTAAAACACATTCTGTCTATAGAAAATGTCCCTTACCCATACAGGGCGTGAGTATATTTGTTTGCAGCTTGTATGGATACATTAATGGATCGTGTATAAGCCAGACATGTAACTGGTTAGTAAATTAATTTCATTATAACACGTTTAATTTGCATAACGGACATCGCTTTCATTTTGATGGATGTCATGATTTGTTTTGCTTTCAAAGTATAGAATTAAATACAAATATACATGACTGATGACTCTCTATAGTACCTATCGTATGAGTAACTAAGTAGGCATTATTTATAATTATATGTACATACATTACATACCTAAATATATACATTTATAAATATAAATGTATGTATTTAGGTATTCTATTTCAATTAGACAAATTTCTGTCGAAATATTTTTTTTTTATACAACTTAGAATGGCAAACAAGCTGACGGCCCACCTGATGAAAATGGTAACCGTCGTCTATAGACATGAGCAGTATCATGGACATAACAGAGTATACTGTTTCACCCATGATACCCCCATGCGTTGCCATTCTTGAGGACTCAGGTGTTATTCCTCTGTACCCTGTAAATTCACGCCATATGCCACCCTTCAAACCGAAACACAGCCATGCAAACACAACTGCTTCACGGTTGAAACACGAGTGGGACAGAGGTACGATATATAATCTATGCAGATCAGTGTAAAAAACTCTTTACTATTTGTCATCCAACGGACAGTTCCAGACAGAACAATGCGTCTCGAATTATCACGTAGCTTTTCAGGACATGCCAAAGCCATAAGATCACTTCTATAGTATTGTATTTGTAATCATATAATGATTGGTGTATGATTATGTAATAGCCGACCGGTATACAGGTACCTTACAGCGGTAAATTCAGATAGGTATAGAACCATCCTGTATTTTTTATACCACAAAGTTAGCAAAAAAAAGAATACAGTTCGTCTGCTGGTAAATGGTTACTATAGCTTATGAAAGTCTGCAACACTAGGGGCGTCACGTGCGCGCTGCCGACCTTGAAGAAACCTTAATATCCCCTTTTTGAAGAACACTATACTATAGTTCTCTAGGGAAAACCTCGGTAGGGAGTTCATTCCAAAGCCTGAGCGTTCGGGAGAAGATTTCTCTGTATATGAAAGATATATATTAAATAGCAAGATAAATGTAGTCGAACACTTGTTGTAATAAAAGAGATAGTGTGACGTTGACGTCACCTTCGCGGACTTTGGGGGCGTCACAAAAACTATGTGACAGCGGCGTGACAGTGGGTGCGCGGGCGCAGGTAGCGTCTACCTGGCCGTGTCTCGCACGCCTCACACGCTACGGCTACAATGACGGATCTAATAGAATAGATTTTTTATTTGGCAACTTGCTTACTACTTGCGTATACAATAATGTATGGATAATGGCAGTATACAGTTTCTTCTATTATTATTAAATCTGTTGTTTACATTTACTATTTTGGTATTATAATATTAGCCAATCTGTACTTGTTTGTATTGGTCGAATTGCAATAGACAATGAAAACTTCTAGGTCTCGAAAGGTAAAATTTGGAACATAGGTTTTTTTCGTAAAATAAGCATTCGCTAAAAGGATTTTTGAAATTTTCTTGAACTTAAAAAGAAAACACGGCAATACCCGTGCACAGCCGCGGGCAACAGCTAGAGCATGAAATAATAAATGTTTAGAATAAAACGATTTGTATGTCGATTTCAAATCTCGTGTTATATAAATGAAATGTTAAGGCTATGAGAAATGATTAATTGAAATATTCACTAATTGTTAAAATTCTACGTATTTAAAAAGAATAACAATATAATAAACGCGCGCAACCTCGCATGCGCCCTGTTAGTTACTATTTATACTACTACAAAACTATTATTATTCTATATATTTTAGAAAAATTCAAAAGTCTTGAGGTTTGTTACATGGGTATACGCCATTAAGCCCACCCCAGGACTTCAACAAAGTTTCACAAGACGTGTCTGAGAGTACTGTCTGTTTTCAACGGATTTAAAAAAAAAGCAATTTGCTTTTTTTATACTTGCAATTTTATAAATTCGTCAGTTGTAAACTGATTTGGAAAAATATTTTTTTATCTGAAAGGGTATACATATAGATTGGTCTCATAGATATTTTATCAAAATCGGTTCAGTAATTTAGTTTTCAAATCAGAATAACTGGTTTTGTCATAATTAAAGTCGCTATTTTTGTGGAACACAATCTTATTAAAACACCACGGCCATACTGTTTTTTTTTTATGAATGATAATGAAATGGTAACCCCGCCTGCGCTAACGGTATACGCTGGCGGTGCACCAGTGAGGGATGATAGGTGAGGATGAAAAGACAGGCCAGTTAGCCCATCGTGATGAATACACTTAGAATTCAGCACGATGGTTTCCACGGGGGACCACGGGGAGGTCGACCTGTAAGGGTATATTGTTAGAAATGGGACTGATAATCCGCATTACTAACAACCCCTTCCTCCCCGGGCCACGCTGTTAATGGTTGAACAAATCATTATGAAATTTGGTATTCACGTGGGTGTTATATACAGGATGGAGAAAGATATAGGCTACTTTTTATTCCGACCAGTAAACACGCAGACAAAATCGTGGATAAATGCTAGTTACATATATGTACGTATAAGACATATATAGTACATATATTTCACATGTAACCTAGTGGTGCGTGGATGTGTTGCAGACGATGATCGGGCCGATCGTGGTGGCTGTGAACGCGTACACGGACGCGAGCAACGCGCTCACGCTGTCGGAGGCGCGCGCGCAGCGGCCCGAGCTGGCGCGGCTCGTGCTGGACGCCGTGCGCCACCAGGCCGACACCGGCTACCCGCAGGCCATCATACTCTCCGGTACGTCCTACTGTCAGACCCTGAGTCGCAGTGATAGGAACCATATTGATTATAACGAAACAACCACAGATCTTAAAAAACTAGCACATCTCTAGTTGAGGACATATTTATACCAGCAGGAGGAGAACGTATGCTTCCTGTAAACTCCGGGTTACTTTAAAAGCAGCAAATGCATTCTTGAAGTGTTTTTGGCCCGAGGGTCCTTATTTAAATGAACACATATCACACTCTTCTAATCAGAACGCAGCATAGGTTATATGATTTAGTGGCAGATATAGATTAGGCAAAGATACTCTATTTATTTTTGTGTCAGTATCAACCACTCTTTAGTTTCTGATACCAGTTCACTAATCTACTCTGAACCTTTGCTCTTTCCTCACCGACAATTAAATGTCGTTGCCAAAAGACATACACCAGGGTATCTCTTCTTGTATGTCCGATTTTTTATTTTAATTAATATTACGCCGACCCCAAATAATAATTGGGATAAGGGTAGGAAGATGATGATGATTGACAACAAGATGTAAGGATTTACTCGTGAAGCCGGCCCTTGGTGTATTTCTACCATCAGTTGAGATGTAATGCAACGTGTTGCAGGAGTGTCAGGCTCCGGCAAGACATATGCGTCGATGGTGCTGCTGCGGCGGCTATTTGACGTGGCGGGCGGTGGGCCCGAAACGGACGCGTTCAAACACCTCGCCGCCGCTTTCACCGTGCTGCGCTCGCTCGGCACCGCCGCCACCGCCGCCAACACGCACTCCAGTCGTATCGTTAGTACCTACCTCCTACACGCACGCTAGTCCAACCATACGAATACAACGTTCTGTCTTTATTTAATCAGACTAAGAATGGCCAAATCTGACGATTCATTTGATGGGAAGTAGTAATCGTCGACTATAGACGTGAACAGCACCACTAACAATACAGTAGACGGTGACGCCCTTGGTACACTTTATGCGTTGTCATTCTCGATGACTATAGTATTATGCCTCCGTACCCTGTAATTTCATTATTATCCACTTCAAACCGAAACAAAATACAATAAGAACAGCTGTTTCACAACGGAATCATGGCTAGAACCTTGATTATAAAGTATACAATATACTAAGTCTATGAGTAGAACAGACATATCCGAACTAACGACTTTTGTACAAAGTCTCTCTCTGTGTTTCTCTCGCTGGCGCTATAGACAATACAACGCACCAGGTGGCAGACGTCATTCAACGTATTTTTTTATGGTTAAAAATGGAGTGGTAACCCCGCCGACGCTATCGGTATACACCGGCGGGGCACCAGTGAAGAATGATAAATGAAGATGAAGTTGGTCAGTTAGTCTATTGTGACGAATTCAACAAGAATTCTTGTTGATTCATTGAAGATGTAAACAATAACTGCAATCAATATTTTATTAGAAAAAAAAATCAGTAGATATTTATCTCGCGCCTAGAGTGTAACATAGAATGCCGTATATAAATCCACTAGTACAGTTTTGTTGGCAATTTAAAGAATTACAATATAATATCAATTCAATGAATGTCGTAATGTTGCTTTGTTACCTTCCAAACTATTGCTCAAATAAACCTAATTGATGTAAATTTACGATAGATTCGTAATTGTTGTAAAGCTATTGCACAAAACAAAAGATTAATTTAATTGATTCATAATTACTAGTGGTGTAACCATTCATAATCAAAATTGTTAGACGCGTGTTTGTACATAAAAATAAATAAATAACTTTCAGGGTCATTTCATAGAAGTGCAAGTGACAGATGGCGCTCTCTACCGTACAAAGATCCACTGCTACTTTCTTGACCAGACACGTGTAGTTCGACCGCCGCCCGGCGAGCGGAACTACCACATCTTCTACCAGATGCTCGCCGGCCTCTCGCAGGAGGAACGCACACAATTACATCTAGACGGCTACTCTGCTCAGGAGTTACGGTACAGTATTTTTGACTGTAACATATGACACTATTAGACGTAACCGTAACGCTTGTACCGCACGTTAAAAACGATTTCCAAATTACTACGTAATAAAATGACGATTATGTTCTTTTTTGCTGGCAAGGAAGATCATATCATCTCAACCAGTGGTTTATTTTTATTATTTGGTTACACATCAAAAGTTTGTGGACTCCCAAATATTAATAATGCACTAACGAAATAAATTATAATATGAATATATCGGTATGTCGAACACAGATACTTAGCATCGCCGCACCATCGGCGGCCGGAGCCGGAGGACGCGGCGCGTTTCCATGCGTGGAAGACCTGCCTCGGCATCCTCGGCATACCGTTCCTGGACGTGGTGCGCGTGCTCGCCGCCGTGCTGCTGCTCGGCAACGTGCAGTTCGCCGACGGGTCGGCCGGCGCCGCCGAGCCCGCCGGCGAGGCCGAGCTGGCGGCCGCCGCCGCGCTGCTGGGCGTGCCCGCGCCGGCGCTGCTGCGCGGGCTGGCCACGCGCTCGGCCCGCCGCGCCGCGCGCGCCGGCGCCGCGCCGCCGCCCGTGGCCGCGCCGGCGACCGCGCCCGCCGCCGCCGCCGCGCGCGACGCGCTCGCCAAGGCGCTGTACTGCCGCACGGTGGCGACGATCGTGCGGCGCGCCAACTCGCTGAAGCGGCTGGGCTCGACGCTGGGCACGCTGTCGTCGGACTCGAACGAGTCGGTGCACAACCAGGACGCGGCGTCGCGGCGCGCGTCCAGCGCCGGCGGCGGCGGCCGCTCGCGGGCCGGCGCGCGCTCCATGGCGGCGCTCAACGACGCCGTGCGGCACGCCACCGACGGCTTCGTCGGCATCCTGGACATGTTCGGCTTCGAGGACGCGGCGCCGTCGCGGCTCGAGCACCTGTGCGCGAACCTGTGCGCGGAGACGATGCAGCACTTCTACAACACGCACGTGTTCAAGTCGGCGGCGGAGTCGTGCCGCGAGGAGGGCGTGGCGTGCGCGCTGGAGGTGGACTACGTGGACAACGTGCCGTGCATCGACCTGGTGTCGTCGCTGCGCGGCGGGCTGCTGGCCGCGCTCGACGCCGAGTGCGCCGCGCGCGGCTCGCCCGACCAGTACGTCGCCAGGATCAAGGCCGCGCACAGGTCGGACACATGTTTTTTTTATACAACTGAGGTGGCAAACGAGCATACAGCTCACCTGATTTCTGAAATCGTATATGCCTACTAACTGACGCCTGAACTAGTTTTGCTGTGTCTCAAAACAATATCTTTATCCCCTTGCGTACATATTCAATAGACATTTTTTTATTATTAGAAATTTGCACTTTATAAAACTATTGGTTCTGTAGATTATATACTTACATCTTAATTTCACTATATATTGAAAGATATAGAACGAATAAATTGAGTGTATCGAGACCGTTGCCTATCTTCATCATATAGAGGGATAATGGCTGAAATAGTGACGATGATGATATAATATGATACAATTATTAGCAGTAGTAATGAATGACCGACTGACGTTAATGTGTATGCACAGAGGTCACCCGCGGCTGGCGGACGCGCGGCCGCCGCACCCGCGGCGGTTCGCAGTGCGGCACTACGCGGGCGAGGTGACGTACGACGCGGCCGAGTTCCTGGAGGCCAACCGCGACGCCGTGCCCGACGAGCTGCTCGCCGCCTTCGACACGCGCACCTGCGAGTTCGGCTTCGCCACGCATCTCTTCGGTGCTGAATTAAAGGTACCTTACCCAGAAATAAAAAAAAATCTCGTTACTTACAAGAAAGATTATTTTTGAATTGTAGAAGAAGTTAACAACCTTACTGTACCTATTGGAAAACACATAAGTGGCGTTCGATCGACATTACTAATTAATCCTTCTATTACTAATAAGTCCTTCGCGCCGGATAATTAGTTAATAATTTTTATATTTGAAAGAAAATCAATTAAAAGTAATGAGATAAAATAAAATGTTTTCCGGCGGGCAGGCGCTGGCGGCGCTGGGCGGGCCGGCGGGCGCGCAGTTCCGCGCGTCGCCGACGGTGGCGGCGGCGCCCGAGTCCACGCTCACGCAGGACTTCCACACGCGCCTCGACAACCTGCTGCGCACGCTCGTGCACGCGCGCCCGCACTTCGTGCGCTGCCTGCGCGCCAACGGCACCGAGGCGCCCATGCACTTCGAGCGGCCCACCGTCGCCAAGCAGGTAGCGCGCCGCTGCCCTACTCGAGCATGCCACATTTGTAATTCTTCGTTCGTTTACAGACAAACGATTCAATGATTATTGTACATCGGCATCGCTTCCTGGTCGCAGGTCCGTGCCCTCCAAATCTTAGAGACGGCGCAGCTGATGGCGAGCGGCTACCCGCACCGCATGCGGTTCCGCGCGTTCAGCAGCCGCTACCGCGCGCTGTGGCGGCGCGGCGCGCGCGCGGCGGCGGCGGCCGAGCAGGAGGCGGGCGCGGGGTGCGCGGCGGTGCTGCGCGCGGTGGCGGCCGCCGCCGCGCCCCCCGCGCCAGCCTCGCCCGCCGCCGTGCGCTGGGCGCTCGGCAAGCGGCACGTCTTCCTCAGCGAGGGCATGCGCCAGGTAAATCCAGCCCGCTATACATCCAGTCTAAATATTAAACTCTCATAAACTTACTTATTAACATCTTGAAATTAATTAGCTATTTAAAAAAAAAATGTCCTCTCTTCTACTCGCTCCGCCCAACACCGACCATTCATAATTAGATATGTTTCAATATTAACCAACCCCATTATGGAGTGTAATAAGTAAATAAATAATGTTAATGGTTAAAATAAAAATATACAGTATGTTAATTAACGTAACTCACTCCTTATAACTATTGTCAATATTCATTATTAAGTTTTCCAAGATACATGTCCTATATTCGAGAATATTTGATCTTTTTTAATCCTCCGAGCCGGATACAAACTTTAAATATTGTACTCCCTCCGACTGAAATGATTTATATCGAAGAATTTATTAATTCAGGAACAAAAATTAGGTAATGAATGTTTACGTGACAGGTGCTGGAGCGCATGCGGCGCGCACGGCGGCAGGCGGCAGCGGAGAGCATCCAGGCGGCGTGGCGCCGCCACCGCAGCCGCACGCCGCGCGCCGCGCCGCCGCCGCCGCCCGCGCCCGCCGCGCGCCCGCGCCCCGCGCCCATCGCCGGCACGCCGCCGCCCGACCCCGCCGACAAGTGCGACCCGGGGCTCGTCAAGCGCACCTGCTCGCTCGTCGGCCTCGACCTGGTATATTCTTTTAACTCATTTTGTTCTGCGACAAAATCACTAAAATTATTGTAACATTGTGCTTATAAATAAGGCCTACGCGGACGATGGACAGAATGTTGAGGCGGCCGAGTGCAGTTGATAATAACGGTTGGCGATGCAGGAGCGGCCGCCGCCGCTGCCGCCGTCGCGCGCGTACACGGTGTCGGGCGGCGTGAAGCTGGGCTACCCGCAGCAGCGCACGGTGGCGGCCGACTGGGCCGACGACGCCGGCCTGCGCCTGCGCGCCGGCGACACCGTGCTCGCCGTCGGCGCCGCGCGCCGCGGACACGTCGCCGTTCAGGTACACTTGCCGACTTACCATATATACTTTCTAATTATGTAGTAATTAATCTTGCCATATCTTTTCATCGAAAATGAAAAATGGTCATTAAAGGACCAAAAATAGATCCTTGAGGAACATCTATTGTTGCACGAAATCAATTCTAACAGATAAAAATGCTACAATTGGTCTTATGTAAAACTGCAAAATCATAGAACAGAACCACACGGAGTCAACCTAATAGAATATATTGCTAGCAGTGCGTCATTAAACCTTATTATTAACACTGATGAGGATGAAGTTAGGCCACACGGCTCGTCGTGACAAATTCGACAGAATATAATCACGATAGTTGCCAAGAGAATCGTGTAGAAGTTTACTTGATAAAGTATTACCAGAGGGAGACTTTGTACAAAAGTCGATTGCTTGGGCCCGTCGTGACAAATTCGATATGGCGTGAATATAATAACACGAGTCCTCAGGAGTGGCAAGTGGGCATGGGCAAGTTATGTCCAGAACCATGTAGAAGTTGACTTGATAAAAAAAAAAAAAAAAAAAAAAAAAAAAAAAAAAAAAAGTATATTGCTAGCAATGGGATTGTTAGACTCCATTACTAATAATTTCTTCGCCCTCGAACCATTATGTCTACTGTCAGCTTGGAATCAAAAGCACCGTGAAGCCGCTGTGAATGTAACACTCCACATGCTCATATTTCGCAGTCCTGTCGCCGTATCTCAGATTATTATTTAATAACTAATAATTAAAGGGTAGTCATAAGTGATTACTAGTATTAAAGCTAACTGCTCGCCGCGCTAGGTATGTGGGCGGCGCGTATGCGTGCCGCACAGCGTGCTGGGCCCGCCGCGAGCGCTGGCGCCGCGCCCGCAGCCGCCGCCGCCGCCCGCGCCCGCCGCCGCGCCCGCGCCCGCTCCCGCTCTCGCCTGACGCCGCCGCCGCTACCGCGCGGCGCCTCGCTCCGTCCAAACGACACACACGGCCACTCATAAGTGAAACGAAACGACACTACCTTTCCCAGTAGATATTGTATACTGATAGTGTACAATGTACTTTAGTGAACACACGTTTCAAGCGGATAATAAGTACTATGAGGATTAATCTTTGGGGTACTTTTTGTTCTGTCAAAATAGTACACGTAGCTATATAATCAAAGCGCACGTGTGTCAAGTGCACGGCGAAGAATTTTGGTTTCCATGGTCAAAACAAAAAAAAAATAGTATAAAAACTTTCACCTTTGTTATTTTGTAGTGCTCAGGCGTTTAAACAATAGTTGTGTGAATTTTATGAGATCGAATGACTTCCGCTGGTAATGTTAAGCAGCGAATGATTTTTTAAATCACACCGCAGCTTACTTTGGTGCCTAATATTGTACTGTGTAAATAATAGTGAGTATCTATAAGTATTTATACGAGTTCCCGCGGCCACGTAACATGTAAATTCGCCGCGACGAACGTAGATAAAGAGAAGCCTTCAGTGAGCGCGCGCTCTATAGTATTATTTGGTAACTGATAGATTAGTAGATGAGTACGTAACGTTTATACGAAATAAACAATTTACATTTACAGTATTACCGTTGTAACTATAGCATAACAGAAATGATTGTAAAAGCGGTCGAGAGTGATACTTAGTGGTTAACATAACACCACATTGTGAAGCAACATGCAAGTCCAGTGTGATATGAGGCGGCAAACAACCAACGACGGGCCATATGTTGGTCTGTAGGAGTAATAATAAACGATTTTGTATGACATATTATTGTAATCATAATGGAATGAATGAAAAGCAGTGTAGAATGCTAATTTTTTTTTAATTTATGCTTAAAAATACAATAAATCAATAAAAAACAGAAATATTACGCACACTACCATGTATTTGACACACACACACACACACGCATGATATACTCTTTTATTTATTGTTAAAATCTGTGGTGAAATTGTGAATAGATTAATATCGTTTGTCTTTAATATTATCTGTCTATAATCCTACTGAATGTCAAAACAAGCTTGTGCATTTACCAATAAAAAAAAAAACCATTTGCTGTAGCTCCACAATACCAGGGCACGTCTCTTAAAATCTCTAAAAACATCTCTAAAAGCATTGGGACCCTTGTTGTCGACATCTCTAGTGACGTACAGTTCCGTGGCCACCTCGAAGATAAGGTGAAGCTGACATTCAAAAAATTCGGTGTGCTTAATAGAGCGAAGCATTACTTCACGGCGGATCAATGATTAATGCTCTACAAATCACAAATCCGGCCCCACATGGAGTATTGCTGTCAGTTATGAGCGGGAGCACCTAGATACCAGCATGAACCCTTCGAGTCGGTGCAACGACAAACAATGAGAATTGTCGAAGATCCCGGTCTTGCAAGCGGTATCGAACCCTTAAGTCTTAAGAGAAATTTTGCTTCACTCTGCGTGTTCTACCGCTTGTACAACGGATTGTGCTCAGAGGAATTGTTCAATGTGATGCCCACGGCCACTTCCTACCATGTACGGCTCGCCATCAATAGGGATTTCACCCTCATACCCTACAGCCTAGATAGTCGCTTACAACGCGGTTTCAGAGCTGTTTTCTCACACGAAGACTCAAGTTGTGGAATAAGCTCCCTACCGAGGTTTTCCTAGAAACTACAGCATTGGGTTCTTCAAAAGGGGGTAAAAAGGTTTCTTCAGGGTCGGCAACGCGCGCGTAATACCCCTAGTATTGCAGGCGTTCATAGGCTACGGTAACCGCTTACCACCAGGTGGGCCGTATGCTTGTTTATCACCTCAGTGGTATAAAAAATATTTATTACAATATATGTTAGGGTCGAATTTCGACCACTGGGCGACCACTAGTTCATTTAAATATCTCAGGTGTTGTAAGCATCCATTTATATATTTTTTTATTTATATTTATTGAATCCTCAGGAATGGCAACGCATGGGGGGTATCATGGGCGAAACAGTATACTCTGTTATGTCCGTGGTACTGCTCATGTCTATAAGCGACGATTACCATTTTCCATCAGGTGCGTCGTCAGCTTGTTTGCCATTGTAAGTTGTATAAAAAAATACCTATCTTCATATTTTATTATAATATAAAGATCCTTAACATTACAAATAGTAATTTAGCCGTCAAGCTGTGCTGTCACGAATATTTCCGTAAAAAAATCAGCTTCTGACAATTTATTAACGTAAAGAGCAGTCGTTAATTACATTCGAGTTTCACTCTCGATTGTTATTACAGGGTTGCATTGTCTGTCGGCCGGGTAACATGCTCGCGTGTTTTTGCAGCAGCTCTCTCCTCTCTGTTACCATTACCACGTCATACGTACTGCGTTAAGGTTAAGCAAGAAGCGTGTTGGTGTTACAGCTTCTTGGATAGAAACATAGAAAGTGACGCGTCAGGTAGAACTACGTACCGTGCATGCTTAGAGGAAATTTTAAAAACAAATGCAATTCAGTATCTCAAGCAAGCATCATTTATATATTTATTGTTTAATTCTTTGACATTACTTGAATTTTCAGATGAGAATTCGTGGTAACACACGAACGGTTTATAATAAAAAATGCATTTATTTCAATTTCTAAAAAATATTACACTATTGTTAAAGAGTACACTAAAGTACAGATACTCAAAGGCTACAATGAGCGTTTACCATCCGACTAGCCGAATGCTTATATAACCAAATCAGTACCAGTTCTACCTGATGCACCACACTATCTTCTTCTATGGCTAAAATATATAATATCAAATACTTCCATTTTTGTTGCTATTTTCGAAATTGTATGTAGATACCTACTCTGTGTTTTATTTTCATTAATACAGTATAGCAATAAATACCGGACACTAAAGTACTTTATCTGAGCGTGAGCGAAATATTGAATATTTACCCTAATTTGTTTCAATCTAAACGCATCTTGCAGGTTAGAAAATTTAAGATATTTGTACCTATTTTTAGTATTCCCTGTAATTATTTTTAGATCAAGATAACCGTCAGCTTTAACTGCAGTATTGTTTTTTTAAACCAAACATTTCATCAGTTTTCATTATCTCGCTATAATATAAAACGTGTAAAAATGTAAACACTCGCGATAATACTTTGAAAGTTCCCATTAAACACATCAACAAGGGAAATAATTATTCTAAAATTACAACAAAAATGGAACAGATAAAAATTTTACTGGCAACACTGTTTTTTTTTCAGATGTGTATAATTAATAGTTTTAATTATGTAGATTAAAAAAATTAATCTATCGCCAATAATGTTATTGAACTCAATGGTTGTACAATGTAATTCGAGGGTGGCCATAGATTACTATAAGGCCCGTCTCACACTACTAAAACACTCACTTTATGTACTTCATAACAGTTTAATGTTTAACCAATAAAATCCTAATATACAGGGTAATACTCATCCCTTAAGAGCTACCGTTTACATGTGCATATTGAAGCACTGGAATGAGTGTTTTAATAGTGTAAACCGGGCACAATGTTACATAGATAGGCCCGTGCGAGCCGCAAGCCGCAAGATACGAGTCCAATAGGTCTACCATGAAATGATTTCTGAAATTTCGGAGACGAAAGAAACAAAAATTTGATATTACAAATAACACTTAAAAATATTAAAATACCGTTTCTTTGAACTTTAATGGTAGGATTTATGACGAATGAAATATTACGCTCCATTTACTGGGCCGATTTCGGTATGAACGAAAACACGAAATTGAGTCCGAAAATTCGCCATTTCAACTCATGGTAGCCCCCCAGGGCCGCAGCGAGACGCCTCGGGACGGGCCTACGAGCTTGCCAACAAGAGTCTGATATAATATAATAATTGAGAATTTATATAGATCTATTGTAAGATAGTGTAAGGTACAAATAAAATAACGATTATATTTTCAAAATAAACGTAGTTTTATTTTTACAATACGTATTGTTGCTGTCCCCACGAACGAGTGCTTACGCTATGGAATGTAATGGTTTATTGGTACAAAAAAACTTGTAGAAAATGTCTGTTGATAATACATGTACAGTATCACAAGTATAGAAAGATCGAGATTTATACAAATATCGGGTACTGGAATATAACGTGGACAGTCTAGGGATGCGCTGTTGCAAAGCTAAACCGAATCGCAGACATATCCGGGTGAGTAGCCACTGTCGCCAATCGCTAAAAGATAACCACTAAGACTGCAGTTCACGAAACATATGTTCTCTGTGCGTTATGAAAGATTAGTCTAACCTGTAATTTACGGGAGTTCACTATTGGACGAAACATTGTGAACAATATTTTAAATACACAATTGGGACTTAACTTGATTGTGTATTTAAAATATGTGTAAACAAAGCGAAAGTTTAAAATTAATGTGCGAAATATCAATAATAATTATATTATACTGACCAAGAAATGCACAATGTATGGAGTATACTATTTATTTAGGTACATAGTTTACCTCTGTCATATTTTTATAACTAATGTGTACAATAAAGTATTAAATAAATAAATAAATAAAAAATATTTTTTATAGCCCGTACACAATAACAACCATTATACATTTATAGTAACAATATCGCCTTCCCATTTTAATGAAATAATTGCGCATTGTGTTTGTTTATTGAACGTCATGACAGGTGACACAGCACATCCCAGAGCGGTACATTTTTATTAGAATTACAATCTCATATAACACGAACAACAAATAAATTCACAGCAGCTGTTTGTAGCATAACTAAGGCATATGGACAGTGACAGCGGTTACATCTGCAAACATTAGCCAGACATTATAAAGCAGCTCATGTATGTTGCATATCGAACGATTATTACTGATTCAATCAAGAATCGAAGCCCCAACATATATGCTTCACTACGCCATAGTGCCTGCGATACTTTTGGACTTCTGAATTGCATACACCACAATACATGCTAGTACATTTATTGCACAAGTACATTCAGTGTTATACATAGTTACAATTCTCACAGTGCGCCTTCCATCAATTTCACTCATAACAATCCCATACCGTAATTATCTTTAACTATACAATTGTCTTTTGTACTTGCATTTTCAATATTGTATTTACGCAATCTCAAAGTTGAATTCAATCTATGATTACTCTGATGTAATAGCCCTTATAAAGTACATTAACTAAATTTAAATCAATTCTGACCACAACATATATTTCTGGTAATACCGCAGTTCGATAACACAACGTAAATTCTTATTATCTCTCTAAAATAAACACATTCTGTATTTTATTAATATTTAATTACATTTACAAGACAAAGCAACAGCATCTCACAGTCACAGTATGAGATGACAATAGGTTCGATTCTGAGGTAGCATTTCTCTCGACCTATCTCTAAAACTAAATTTTCAATTTATTATTACAGAAAAAATGCTTGTTATAAGGACCAATATGAACTATATGTCCAACACTTTTAAGTCGAAATTATTATAAATTTATAATATTACATAACAGCAGTCATTTCGCACAATTATCAAATTAAAACATTTGGTTTCGAGACAGGTTTAGACAAATGACGCGTCAGAATCGACCTCTCTCTGAATATATTATCTGTAACAGTATAATAATAATACATAAATGCTCTCTTCAAGATCTGACCATTAAAACATCCAGTATTCAGGTGTGTCCACTGCAACCACATTTGCGTCAGAAATAATCCCTAATAGAAGGTTTTTCTAGCAAAATGGCCAAACATTAAAGATCACTAATTATATTTTTTTATTGTTAGATTCCAACGTTATGATACGACGTAAGAAATAAATGCATACAATGTTATATTAACAGTAGGATAACAAGAATAGCCATGGCTAAGGTCCCATAATGTACGGTCCCACTGTACGGCTAGAACAAACTTAACGCTGATAAACATTTAGTACGTCTTCGTTGTCATATCACATGTGAGACTCGGCCGCCTATAGCACTATACCATTTAGTTCATTCAATCAGAAAACCTAACTTGTGGATAGAAAAGTGAGAAATTGTTCAAGTATAAAAACTTTACAATCTTATACATTTTATTATATGGAACGTAAATTAACGCTTTCTGATCAAAATGGGAAATACCTACATATAAACATTTATTCGTATAATTTATTTTATATGTGTAACACTATATAAGGAGATATCCAAATACTTGTTTTTTTTTTTTAATATAGACAAATCTACACTTTAGAAACAAACATAACATGATGAATACGCTTAGACTATAACATATAAAATTTACATTACACATTCAAATGGAAATATCAGAAATTCAATAGAAAAATATTATATTTATCAACTTTTCGTTTGTCCTTCAAACGTTTAGCGCAATTAAAAAAAAGCAACAAAAATTGGTCATTTCAAAAATACATGTAATATTTTATATTTTAACTAGTACAATACAAAACATGATGTTTAAATTTGATGTAACAAATACACATCAAACTTTGAAAAGAGAACAAAGATTTATATCACCAATACAAACGTAACGTAGAATGGGGAAGCAGATACGAATGGAAGTGACAAGCTGTGAGTGACACTACAAGACACGAGTATACGTGAGGGAGAGAGACGGGCATTGGCCAGCTGACGACACAGCCGGACACGTCCCGACAAACTATATAAAATTTGGCCACCGTCATTTGAGTATATGGTATAGGAACCGTTATAGATTACAGGATAAATACAATAATAATACTACAATCACATACGTTGCTACGTGGCAGTGTGTTACTAAACAATCTGTGATGTAATCATTCACTTACCGTGGCGACAAGTGTCTCGCGGGGTGAGCAGGGCGAACCGAGTGCAAAATCCCTTTATCTTTACACACACCTGCCTTATCCACTTTGTTAACTCGCCTCATGCTTGCCATTCTCACTTATCATCCATCACTGGCGCCTCGCCAGCGTAAACCAATAGTTCAGGCAGGGTTACCATTTTAATTTCACCCATAAAAAAACTACTACGATAAAAAGATCCCTACACTAGATTACTCATTCATATTGCATTCTAATACTGCTGTAGAGAGACTAAAGCCAACACACGAACAACGTCCTCCACGTGAGGTACTATGAGGTCTCATGGACCATTGAAATGTGTATACCAACATGGTATGTAAGGGCCGTCCCCTCTAATGATGGCCTGAAACATTGCTGTATGTTGCTATCATCCTATATACGTAATTTAACTGCACTACCTGACACTTAAAGGTGCGTATTGACTATGTAGCAAGAAATGAATGCACATCAATGAATATATTAAAATGTAAGAAATGCTCTCGGTCAATATGCACCTTTACCACACAAAATATACATCTAAAAAGTCATGGCAATAGTGGGGCATCTTATAATGCCTTCCACGGGACAATAACAAAGTTCCAACACGAGGCTCAACTAGATAAAGTACTGACGCAAACACGTGCACTAGGTTTACCAAAATAAAAGTCTCAAGTGTGTTGCCAGAAATAAATCTCTCCAAGTCATTTAATTCGGAATTATATTAAATTACTAGGAGAGATTTATTCATTAATTTTTTAACAACGTAATTTTATTTTACTATAAACATTTGAACATTGATAAATATCATAATGAAACGGTTGTATATTAGGTATCAAATTTCACTCTTCAACTTACAGCCTGAGATTTGAAATTCAATAACACAATGTCTATACTTCTCGTCGGTCGAGTGAACACCTAAATCTAGCAGATCGAACCATTGAGATAATATTCATATTAAAAAAAACCTATTATAAAATGTAAAAATATCAAAAACCCTTAATTGGACAATTATATCTAAATGTGCTAATACAATAGAGGCAATGTGCAACACGTCACACCACACACACATACCATTGTACAAACAAACTCCCATCCAAAGCAGGCTTAACCTAAAGTTTATAAAATTTCAAATTCAGCTATTGTACGCTGCATCGAACACCACAAAAGGCACCGAATAAGCTAACAGCAATTGCAACAATAAAATATTAAAATACAACGAGATACACACAACTTTGAACTTTGAGCCTATACTTATAAATTTCAAATTCCCCCAACGCAGAATCCAATTTCAATTGAATAATAGTTATATATTAAATTAATTAAACACGACAACAAGCGTCAACATGAATAAGTTTCAATTATATACATACGAGAACATCAATAGCACAACATTATACGTAAAATACAATTCGTTCTACTCTATAAAGTCTCTGTAGATATAGTGACGTTGAAAGAAACGCATCAATACATTGAGCGTTTGTGTTTTTTTTGCGCTGCGACCGGTCGCGCCGCTTTCGCGGTGACTCCTGTGCTGGTGTACCGCGGGCCGCCGGTCGAGGCTATAGTTAGAAGCTTTCGTGTAATTGGTTTAGCTTTTTAACACATCGCGTATATTGCCTGGCCGGCGGTCGACGAGTGTTACGGGTCTTAATTCTTTTATGGGTTTTATCTGGAAATGATATGAAGCCTAGCTGACGGCCCGCCTGATGGGATCCCTGTTTTCTATGAACATAAACAGGAAAAAGCATATCTTTGTAAGAGAAAACTGCAAACAAAAACAAAACTATGCGTGCTGTTTAGCGGGGTGTTGGTGCACTAAGATTGTTTGCTTATGACGACAGACGCACGCCCAACATCCTACTATGTTAAATGGTTGTTGTGATGCAGCTACTTCAGAGCTATAATCGTAGAATCGAAAATTTTATATCCAGATATTGCGATTTCAGAGGAGATTATTCAAATTTACTAGTTTCTGTTGTAATTTTTCCTCAATATAAGGAAGGAGTTCTTTAAAATAGGTGTGCAAGGGTTTATATAGAATCGGCAATAAGATTGTAACACCCCTAGTGTTACAAACGTCTCTAGAGCGAGCACTTACTATCAGACGGGTCGTAAGCTTTAAGCCATATTTATAATAAAAAAAAAATATTCTGACCTTAACTCTGATATTTTGTTATAAAATTTTTAATGAAATAATCATTGTAATTTATAACCGGCGACATGGGGGGTAGCGGTCGAGCGCGGCAGTTTGCGCGAATTGAACACACGCGGTTCGGCAGTGACGTACGGTGGACGCGGTCTAGCGCCTCACCTCCCTCCTACTTTTATTCGACTTTGTGTAGGTACTTCGTCGATAAATAATCAATGTATATACATATTTACGACGCGCACCGGCCACGGTTTACGGCCGGTGCGATGTCGAGCGATTTTAATATGGCGCTAAAAATATTCGCGTACTCGAGAGCGTTTTGGCGGGAACCGTTCATCGATTATGAAATCGCCGAAGTTATATCTCTGACGTCACGGCCAGCTCTCGCCGCCGGTGCCTCGCTACCGGGCGGCTGAGTGCGGACGTCATGCTGTTATCTATAAACTATTTTAGTAGCAACATACGTTTGTTAATATATTCCAAATTGAAGATGAACGTCCAGATCCTCACTGTTTATAACAATGGAAACACAAAAACCCAGGCGGCGGGCGCTACTCGCGAGCGATGGGCGTGCTGCAGGCGGCCGACGGCGCGCGCCGCTCCAGCGGGGAGCTCGCGCCCGCCGCCGCGCCCGCGCCCGCGCCCGCCTCCGCTCCCGCTTCCGCTCCCGCCTCCGCCTCCGCCTCCGCATCGCTGGCCGCGTCCGCGCCGCACAGCGACGTGAACACCGTACTGGACGACACCTCGCGCACGCACCGCCTCTGCTCAGCTGAAAACGGACACATGAACGTTATGTGGCATTCACGTAAAATCCTACTGAAACTATTACTAGAAATCGATATGTTCGTGTTAAAAGCAATACACAAATTATAATTACGATGGCCGCTTATCATCAGACGAACAGTACGCTCGCCATCCTTTTAATATTAAAAATAGTAACGTAATGCCGTTGGTGTTGTGGGTGATCATGGGCGGCGGTAATCACTTACCATCAGGTGAGCCACATGTCCGTTTTACCCCTGTGTTGTAAAAAAAAATAGGTATACATACTATTGATAATTTAGATTTCATAAATCGATCAAGACCTAACAATCTAACAATGGCGGGAAAGGAATTGTTAATAATGAGGTCTAATTTCCCTATTACTACCAATACATCCTACTAGGTCGACCTCCATGCGGTTCGCCCTAAAAACAATCGTGGTTAATTCCAGTTAAATTTATCACGATGGGCTGACGGACCTGCTTTCAACGTCACCTATCATCCTTCATTGGTGCCCCGCCAATGTATACCGATAGCGCAAGCCCCGGAATTACCATTTCATTATCAATAAAAAAAAATCTAACAACAGGTACACTTGCACAATGCAAAAAACATAATCATACATAATTTCTCGCAACAGTATAACAACACAAAATTACTGGAAACGAGGGCATTATCCCGAGCGCAGTCGGCGCGTTTAACAAATTAAGCCGGTCCCATCGCAGCGCGAGGTGAATAGCGTCTCTAATGAGTCGCAATGAAGTGTCCGGTAATTGTATAAGTGAAGTGACAATAAACGCAATTGTACCGAGTGCGGAAAACTGCAGCCACCTTCGCTATGCATTATTTCCCACCATACGTCACCGGCGCGCCACAATCGACGGTCATTATAACAATACCACTATAAAATAAACAATTTAAGACAGATATACAGAGAAAAACGTCTACTTCAACCGTGACAAAACATAAGATCGGAGAGATCTTTCGGCATTTCAAATACCTGAAAATTTTGCTCCACAACGAAAATCAGCCCAATAGTGAAAAAGTGAATATCATACAAGATCAATACGGGAACATTTTATAAAAAGAATTATTCAAATCTCACATTTCGTATCAATCGTATCAGAATTAATGTGGAATCAAAAACAAACAATTTTTTGGAACTTTCACATTATCATCATCTGATCCATTATCTGTCCACTGCTGAACATATGCCTCTCCCATAGACTGCCCCACGGAACGGTCCTAAGCCCCCTACATCCACTGGGCAATCAAATGCATTGCAGGGTGTCCCTGCCATGCATTTGAAGTCGTCACTCCATCTAGTGGGGGGTTGTACTACTCTGCGTTTGTCACTCAAGAACATATCTCCCCCGTCGGTATTCGGTTCTTCTAGCTCAGTGATCTCGCTATTGCCACTTCAGCGTGACTTTAGTTCTTTTGCGGATATCCTCATTTCGGATTCGGTCACGCAAAGAAACACCGAGCATGGAGGAGAGGAAAGAAACTCCATAGCTCGCTGAGTAATTTGTAACTTTTGTATAGGGCCAACCGTGTAGGACCATGTTTATGTTCCATAAGTCATCAATGGCACAGATAATATAATACTATATGTTACTGGCAACACGCACTGGTTAAAGACCTTTGTCTTTAACCAGTGCGTGTTGCCAAACTTTAAGGTATTTTGGAGGAGAAGAAGTGGCGTAGTTTTTTTAACGTTATTCCAGCCGAGTTGGTTGTCGAAACTTTTACATAAACATCTTCAAATAAAATTCGATTCAATACTCAGCAGTTGTCGAATGAATGTCTAATTAGAGAACGTAAAAGTCATATACCCACATTTTCTCAATAAAAATATGTAAACAAATAATATGTTTAAAACAACCAAAGCAGTGCAAGTGCAATAAATGCATTCACTCAGGAAAGTAAGGTACACCGCACGACAGAGCCGGTGTGCGGCGTGCATGACGAGAGAAATTGCGCGTTTAATCGCTACTAGATACATGACCGGTTTGTTCCCGGTTGCTGCATTTATAGCTAACTACTGCCTGCACTATCTAAGTTTCAAATAATAATAGTATTACAATTAATTTAAAAACGACTTTAATTTTTTTTTTTTTTGAGAGATGGACAACAGTGTCTCTCTTAAAACAACTCCAAGGCCTAACTGCAGTTACCAATCCGCCTGTCAAGCGTGGCAACTACTAGCAAAACTCTCCAAGAAGGAGGCTTATGTTCAGCAGTGGACAGTAAAGGCTGATATGATGATGATGAGGCTTCTAGTAAAACTACTAATTTTATCAAAAATGAACTCCTGTCAAGATTCCATATCACTGAGAAATAAACTGATTCATTAAATAGTAAATTTAATCTTAAACATAACAGATGACTGGTAGAGAATGCCATGCAGTCCACTTTGCAGACATATTTTGATGTGTGCAAAAGTATAAATAAAATAAATAAATGAAAACGTTTACTAAAGCTCCATCACAACCCCTGCCACCGACGGTACTCACCGATCATGTTGTGCAGGTTGTCTATGACCACCTCCGTGTTGTAGGTGGCGTCCACGGCGCGCTGCAGGAACGATGTCCACGTGCTCAGCTCCGCTTCCTGCACGCACATTGTTTGTTTGATTAAGCTATTAAGACGTTATAAGGTAGTAAGCACTTGAACAGTTTAACTTTAACTAAAACTATGAAATTTACTATATACGTACTATATGAGATGGAAAAGGATGCTGGCTACTTTTTATACCGATGAGTAAACATATTCTGGTCACGCGGACAAATCTGCCGGTAAAAGCTAGTATATTTATAAGTACAATGACAGAATTTTCATCGTGCCTCCGATCAAACAGTTTAAAACTGTTTTTGTGTTCCTCTCCGTAAAAGATTACCTGGATGAGATCGCTTTCAGCGGTATAGCCGCTGCGATATTAGCGATAATCCATATAGGTTTTAATAATTTGTCAATATAGATAAATACATTCTATCGTCTTCCGGTCCTGGCATAGAATGGACCACCCCTTCCTTTCCCGCGGTTGTCGTAAAAGGCGATTAAGGGAACTTAATGGTTGAGGGATGAGCAGCAGCGCCATTTTTAAATATCACCAAAGCCTAACTGCGGTTGGTTGATATCGCGATTTCAGCGGCCGCCTGTTGTTTTCTCACTGTGATTATTTTTTGTAATTGTTTTTATCTACTCGTGTAATAAGTTTACTACTGTAATCTTTTGGAGGAAACAATAAAAAGTATCTATCTATTTACAATAAGACATTAAAATATATTTATTAAAGGCTTGTATTTAATATACGTGTGCTTCATTACTAAGTATATCTAATATAAGTCGAGATCCATTCGCAGTAACGGAGGGTGGAAGTTTCCAGCATGACGGTGCGGAGCCGTCTCGTGTAATGGGCCGTCTGATTTACGGCCGGCAAAGTTGATGCGTATATAAAATTCGAAAAGCCTATCGACCATCGACGGAGCCAGTCAGACACCCCACACCGTCGAACATCCAATAAGCCGGTTGAAATGGGAAGCCGTACGAGCCGGTAACAGATTGACGCCATGCGGCAACACGGCCCGTCCGGGTACATGTTCCGGTGCCCTTGTTTGCTCACCGGCCGCCTATATGGACGAGCGAGTGACGATTAACTTAACACTTATTATACTGGCTAGTTGCTGGGGACCGTAGCGCCCATATCTATGCATTTATTTACATATTAAACATTGCCATGTATACGAAGTAAAGTTTAGTAAATATAGTTAATTTTTAGTAAATATAGTTAATTTTAAACTTTCGCGTTGTTTACACATTTTTTTTTAAACATCGGCAATAAAGAAGCAGGTATGTAGCTACTATTTACCTGTAAAAGCTTTTATATCGCGTTAAGTCCCAATTGTGGGTTTAAAATAAATAGACGGAGTTATGAGGTAACAAATATAAAAAAAAAAAATTACAGTCGAATTGAGAATTGAATTGGAAACAAAAAGAGGAGCGTTTGAACTCGGTTGAACACGGCAATTTCATAGATATAGATAGCTTAATATTTTGGTATTATAGAAAGATTGAACCCGCAACCATTGAAAGATGTGGTAGTTTATAAAACCGCTACAGCGCCGAGGTCGCCTTCTACTCAACATACGAGTACTACGTCGATCGATCAGCCGACTACGGCCGCCAGGAAACAGGCGGCCGTAGTACAGCACTCGCCTTACATAACAGAAGCGGCGCACTATATACCGTGGCAACTATTGCACGAGGGGCATATTTATAGAGATGACGGTCAGGGCCGCCGCGCGACCGCGGTCGGTGCACTGTGCCGCCCACGCGCCGCCCGCCCGCCGCGAGCTCGGCTCTCACTGGACCCGACCCCGGCCCCGGCCCCGGCCCCGGCACGGGTCACCCGCCATTCGCTAACTGACCCCACGGTAAATATAGATATGAACACCGATTAATATTTGCAGCATTTTTTTTAATGGGTGATAATGGTATGGTAACTCCGCCTGCGCTAACGGGATATGCTGGCGGAGCACCAGTGAAGGGTGATCGTTGAGAATGAAAACAGGCCAGTTAGTCCATCATGATGAATTCATAAGGAATTAACCATGATAGTTTCCAGGGAGAACCGCGAGGAGGTCGACCTTGCTGAGTATATTGCTAGCAATGGGGTTCTCAATCTCCATTTCTAACAATCCCTTCCCCCCCCATGCGGAAAAATTAGATCGGTAGGTATTAGACTCTCTCATAGACGGTTCTTATGCGTAATTTGTAAAATAGGTTTAATGGAAAATAGAAAAAAACGCACACTGCCCGCTAGTAATTAGTGCTATTTTCCACTCAGGATTTACTGGAAAAGAACTCTTACAGAGTTAAGCTCTTCTGTTGTACGTCATTATTTAATATAAATTCTATATAACGTATATAATTTTTTGTAAACAATAAAGTATAAATAAATAAATGAAAATGGAAAGTAGAAAGACGACATGTTGCTAAATGATCGAGCAACTTAGTTCAGAAACACATAACATAGATTAAAACCAACTTTGCAAACATGCGTGAACACATTTACAGGAAGAGTATAATAATGTATAGTAGAAAGAGTGAAGATGAAGATCATCTTCGATTCGAATTCTGTTTACAGTCAGATGCATCAAACGCATAAGCAAAAATCTGATGGTATGTAGTAATCGTCGGCTTAGTAGACGTGCACAGCACCATAAACATCACAGAACATGCTGTGACATCTATTATAATGGGGTAGACCATTATACGCGTTAAGTGTATATCTTTCATATACTTGGTTCATATTTTTTTTGGCAGTCTGTTCCCCTTACATCCACTTTCATATTGAACATTTTTAATTATTATTAGTATTTCTTACTTTTATTTTATTATCGCAGATTTCCACTACGCTTTGAAAGGAAAATTATTTTTACTAAGAAAGTGGCCTGTTTAAACTATGCTCTGCTACCAGGAAATGTAATAATAAAAAATAATTGTAAATTACAATTATAGATGTTTTTTATTAGAAGCCAAATTATAAAACTTCTTAAAAGGCATAAGTAATGTTACAAATGAATGACGCAAACTGAATTTCCCTCAAAAAACATTGGTGATACAAACGTATATAAAATATTGTTAAAGAACCATCATACCGCGTCACAAAAGGTCACCGTTAGAATCGTTTATAACGTAGGGAATCATTGGCACGAGGCCGTAACGGATCGACAGGTTCGTCGACACGACGATGTAAAATGGTACTGAAGCCACTTTTTATGTAACATCTTGTACAGGAAGTCATGTTGCTTTGTTATCGCATACCACTTTATATTGGTACCTACTCTGGAAATAATGAATCAGCGACAGTTTCTAGTTTGATACGCAGAAAATATATAAATTATGAAAAGGTTTTTTTTTATAAGTCCATACTCTAAAGACTTGACTGATTTGTTAAGTTAATGAAAAGCTGAAACAGTTTTTTTTTTTTTTATTTTAAACGAAAAAAACGTGTCTCCTTTGATACTACTGACATAAAAATCCACTATGAAAATTTTTCCGAAATTTCTATGAACATGGTAATTTAATGAAGTTCATAGTGTATTAACATTCATCGCTGATCGTCTGTATTAACCCGAACTGATTTTTCCAATAGATGGACGTAAAAAATTAATGAATACAATTAATCAATATCATTAGTTTTAAAAGAATAACAGAACAATTACAATCAAAAATAGATGCTAAATAGTAATAAATGCCACACTATCACACCAATAGTCTAGTCTTTGAACTACCACATTCTATTTTACGGAAAACCAGAGAACGAATTTCTAGGAGCACAACCCAGAACTAACAATGACTTTTTTTAACCAACTATGTGGATTGTGACTCGCGACAACCATAAGGCGACAAGTCTCGCCGGTACCCTAAAAATGAACTCATTAGGCTTACGTAGTTTCGCCAATAACTCACTCGGGGTCAGTTATTCTATTAAAACCGTGAGGAGTAAATCCTACGCCCGGCACGTGCACGTGGTGATGATGACGTGACCCAGTTGGTGTACCGTGCTCCCTCCCGCCCACGGCGCACGGCGCACGGCAGCCGCCGCGTCGAGCCATGAATTGATAAGCAAGGTGAGGGCGTCAACTGTTTATGTATACGGGAATATTTAATGAAGGCTTAAAGTATGCGGGCACCTACGCAAGCTAGTTTCTATGTGGTTGAGCTTCGAGGACATATCTCTACAGTGAGTTAAGACAAAAAAAAACTACCTTTGTGATAAGGAAACAAAAAGGTTCTCAATTCCCCTGTAGTTCCCATTCGTGTTTCAACCGTGAAGCAGTTGTGTTTGCATGGCTGTGTTTCGGTTTGAAGGGTGGGATATGGCAGTGAATTTACAGGGTACAGAGGAATACGCCTGAGTCCTCAGGAATGGCAACACACGCGGAGTATCATGGGCGAAACAGTATACTCTGTTATGTCCATGGTACTGCTCATGTCTATAGGCGACGGTTACCACTTTCCATCAGGTGGGCCGTCAGGTTGTTTGCCATTCTAAGTCGTATAAAAGAATAAAAAAATTAAGTTTTTCTGAAATGAAATTAAATGAATGATGAGTAATAATTAGTTGAAAGAAATTTACATTGGCCGCACACATTGTCTCTGGGTCGGTGTACAAATATATATATAATATATTCCACATTATATTGCCATTCATTAGTTATATGATTATAAATAAATAAATAAATGACCCCTTATATTTATTTATTACAGTAAACAGAAAATAAATGTATAGACATTAATTGTCCAAACTAATAAATTATTTAAACAAACTGATTAGATATCAGATAATTTGTGTTAGTTTTTTTTTTTTTATACAACTTAGAATGGCAAACAAGCTGACGGCCCACCTGATGGAAAGTGGTAACCGTCGCCTATAAATTGTCAACTTTGATAACTCTATTTGTAATCGATAGAGTTTACTCTCGAGTTGGTGCCACACTATTCTGTCACGATAAAGGCTACTTATTTTCATTGCTACAAAGCTCTGTTGTAGCTGTGGGTTCTTTCATGATAAATTCTACTACGATTCTAATTACAGCCCTCTA